TGAATATCAATGTTGATGGGTTATAGAAATGATGTTAATCGATGTACATGTGTTGAACATTTATCAGATGCTAATGTTTTAGTTATTTCTCATATTTGGTTTAGCATATCTCTACTGGGCTTTGGCTCACCCTATATGGGACATCATTTTCAGGTACAGAGGACATGCTGCCTCCAAGGATCTAGCTTAGGTGGTTTAGAGGCAACAGGCTTCTTTTGTCGATTTTCCTTTTATGTTATATGTTTTTTTTCCAAGCCAAGGGCTTTAATTGTAAAGGGCTTCTGACCCTTTTTTGTTGTAACCAAGTGTTGACTTGGAAAGTTGTAAGCCCGTAAGGCATTTACTTTTGTTGTCAACATGTAATACTTTTTGTAAAGAACACTCTGATGAATGGATGTATATTTTATTCTCCTATGTCTATGGGTATCATGAATGATTGATTTACGCATTTATTTTGAGGGTGTGACATCAAGCATATAACTAGAAAAAGAAGTTTTCTCATTCATCTTAGGGATAATAGTCATTACATTGAGCTTAAACATACCGCCCGACATATATCTTTACCCACATAGACTCTGCTCTTGGTCAACACGACCTTATCAGACTCAAACACCATGCGGAAGCCATGCTTACTTAAGTGAGACCCCGAGACATGGTTCTTATGAATGTCCAGCACAAATAGGGCATCATTCAAAATAAACTCTTTTCCTGAAATCATCTTAAGGACTACCTTGCCTTTACCCTCAACAGTTGAGGTCGCATAATTCTCTATGAACAACTTCTCACCATTTGAAACCGGTTCAAAAATTGTGAACATCTTCTTGTCGGCACAGATGTGGCGAGTGGCCCTAGTGTCCACCCACCATTCTTTCGGGTTGGACTCCACCATGTCATCTCAGAGACAACAGCAGATAGATGCATGTCGTCTACATATTGAGACAGATCCTCTATCTCAGCCATGTGAGCCTTGCTTTTGTTCTGTGAAGGGTTCTTCTTGTAAGGCTTTTTCTTCTTGCAATAATCAACCGCTTTATGCCCATCGCTTCCATAGTTGAAGAACTTTCTATTAAACCTAAAAGTAGGTTCTTGCGGCTTGTAGACTGGCCTTTTGGAGACACCACCTCTAGCCCCCAACTTTGAGCTTCTGCTGGTTGGTGGATTTTTCTTGACCCATGAGGATTGGCCATGCTCAACTATATTTGCTTTCACAATGGAGGTACTCCCTCCTTTTTTCTTGTTATCCTCCTCAATTCGAAGCTTGACAACAAGCTCTTCGACTGTCATCTCCTTTCGCTTGTGCTTCAAACAATTTTTGAAATCTTTCCAGCCATTAGGCAGCTTCTCAATCAAAGCAACTGCCTAGAATGATTCACTCAGCAACATTCCTTTTACATGAATCTCATGTAGAATTACTTGAAAATCTTAGACTTGGCTAATGACAATTTTAGAGTCCACCGTTTTGAAATCCAGAAATCGGCCAACGATAAATTTCTTTGCCTCAGCATCCTCGATTTTGTACTTCTTGTTCAAAGCATCCCACAACTCTTTTGCCGATTTCTTGTCCAAAGTATCCCATAGTGTGTCTACCAAGATGTTCAGAATATAGTTCTGGCAAAGGAAGTCTGACTGCTTACAAACGTCTAGTGCCATGAGTTTGTGCTTGTTTTGTTCATTCTCCTCCACGACTAGTGGATCCTCACTCAAAAATCTCGCAAGGTTAAAAGTAGTCAAGTTAAACAGTATCTTTTGCAGCCACCTATTGAAATTCACTCCAGTGAACTTCTCTAGGCCCTCATGATGGTTAAGCGATTCTCCCAAAACGGAAAAAATAGCAACAGATTGACCAGAGAGGTCACAACAATTAGATTGACCACAGAGGTCACAGTAGGAGTTGGCAAGCCAATTGACTCGGGGTTCTGATCCTCACCAACATTAGTAGCAGCAACATCAGTTATAGTTTTCATTTTTGAAAAATAGAACAAAATTTTACTATTTTATGTTTTCAAAAACTAAGCTTAACACTAGAAAATTTCAAAGTCAGAAATTTAATTCAAAACTAGTCTCACTACTTACTTTAGAATCGAACATGGTCAAGAAAGTTTCCAGGAAGACTAGAGGGGTCACACAGGTCTGACTTAAGACCCAGTTAACCTTAGACAAAACTTTCAAGAGCATATTGACTCCTAGTCTATGGGAAACAAATTTAGAATTAAGTTTTTCAAGGGATAAACTAGGTTAAAACAAACCAAGTTCCAAACCTTACAAGCCATTAAAAATTGTTAACCAAATTACAAGCAATTAGAAATTGCTACAACAATTTACAAGCAAATAAAATGCTTTCAAAATTACAAGCAAACAAATTTGCTTCAATAAAGATTGGTAATTTAACCACTACCTCAAGCAAAAAGTTGTTTCAAATATAAAGAAATTAACCAATCCAAATAAAGATTCTTTTTAGTTTATAATTCGTTTTCATGCTTAGGTATTTCTATTCAACAAAAACTTTAGTAGTCCAAATTTTTAGTTTTAATGTCCCAAATTGTATTCATTTGGTTTTGTATTTTTTTTTTTCCATTCCCTTTCGCATAGGTATTCCTGTAAAAAAAAGTTAGCAGAAAAACACAACAAACTATAAAACAAATAATTGGAAAAAAAAAACTGTAAAAGTAATAAATTAGTTAAAACCTTCTAGCAATTTATTTAATAGCACAATTAAGTAAAAAATTAAAATGCTAGACAAGCTACACAAAAACTTTATAACTCCAAAAATTAAATTAAAATTAATAGGCAAGAGTTACATATGAAATTATTACACAATAAACATGTAAATAATTCTAGCAATTAACATGCAAATAATTCTAGAAGTAACCTAAATTAAAATCTAGAAAATAAAGAACATGCAAATTATCTTACAAACATAGAATCTAATAAACATGTGAATTAGACTAGGATCTAGAAAATAATGAACATGTATATTATACTTAGAAAAGTATAAAATAATTAGCATGTCAATTTTAACTAAAACATTTAAACACTTGTGAGCATGCAAATTATATTCTAAAACTACAAAATAAAGCATGCAACTCATGGTCAGAAACTAGAAATTAAACATGTAGCATATATCTTGCACATAAAATTATAACCTTATACTAGAACTAAACAGCGTGCAAAATATATTAATATTTAAATAAATGTAAATTCCTCATCATGAATTTATGCAGTGCAACAATGGGCTTATGTACACATTCTGAAAAGATACTATGATTCGCGAACAACAAAACCACAAATTTTGGTTTTTGGAAAATAGTAGCAAGCAAATATATTTTTTTTTATTTACCAAAACAAAGAACCTATGCAGTGTACAAATCTCCTAGGAAAAGTCAAACTAATACACTATCATGAATCTGAGCACAAATACAGTGGGCTATTCAATTTTACAATTTCCAGAGTACATGTTCTATAATTTTTCCAATTAACAGATGCAAAGTAGAGAATTCATACAGTGGGGAAATTAATCTATTACAAATTATTATGAATCTATTTGTTTAATTCCATGGGAAAGATTGTTGCGGATCGTGGGCACACCAGGGGACACTCACAAGCAAAAACACAAGAGTTTTAACGTGGTTCGGCAAACCGGCCTACGTCCACGGGAGCGATGTTGTTATATATCAACAAATGGAGGAGATTACACACTCTCAACTCACTGTCTCTCTATATAACACACTCTCTCACACTCTCTGATACACAAACAGAATATAGCTCTCACTAGCTCTCTCTGTTTTGTGCCTCTCTCTCAGCAATGTGTTTTGCCGTTTGCCATGTCTACAACTCACCATCACCATTCCATTTTATACACCTTGGAGTAGGTGGGAGTGCCATTGGGTAGCCTCCATGCTTGACTTTGGCAGCCTCCTTCTTTGACATGGTTGGTAGCCTACTTCCTTGACCTTTGTGTGTGTTCCCATGGAAGAGAGAGTCACCTCCTTTACATGGGGTGAATTCAACAAAGATATAATATGTTTTAAGATTGTTGTACAAATTTATGTTTATTTTTATTTAAATATACACCAATTTGTACAACAGTGGAAACATTACTTTAGTTGAAAAGTGTGATCCTGCTAAATTTTCTTTACTTCACTTTAATGATGATGTGAAGAAATTTGGGTATGATGGTTTAATTATTTACTTTTACAGAATTCATAGGATGGACTTAGATAATGGTCTAAGGTTGCAAGCAACTGATGCTAATTTGGTTGAAATGATTGCCCAAACGCCTCCTAGTAGAGTCATTGAAGCGTACTTAGAAAATGTTCCAGTAATGGATTGTTGGGACAACCAGGTAGAGTCATGTGATGTTTGTGGGAGTAGTCAACCTAGAGATAAGTTTATTTTAGAGACCAAAAGACAAGCCAACCATAACAATGCTTGACTGGATAAGATGTTTGTTGATGAACAGAATGCAATAAGGAGGGACTTAATGAGGAAACATGAGGGTAAATTATGTCCAAAAATACAGAAAATGCTGGAGCAATTGAAAATTGAATCAGAGGGTTGTTTTCCTATGTGGTAAGGAGGGCCTAAGTTTCAAGTTAATTGTTCAAATGGTGATCAGCGCGTAGTGGACCTGGATGAACATACTTGCTCATGCAGAAGGTGTGATTTAAAGGGTATACCTTGTGCTCATGGTGTGGCTACTATCTGGTACAAGACTGGATTATTATGTGAATGAATGCTAGACCAATTTGAAGATTTATGAAAACATGATACAACCTCTAAATGGTCCTAAATTGTGGTCCAAGACTGGATTATTAACCCCATTACCTCATATTTGTCATAAGCCTCCAAGAAGGCTTCCAACTTCTAGAAGGAATAGACCAGATGAACCTACCAACGTCACAAAGCAGAATATAACATGGGGCCATAACTATAGGAGCTGCAAGAATCCACCAAACAGGAAGTACCAAAAAAAAAAAAAAAAAAAAACAAAGCTTAGGCTATAAAAGGAAAAGGGTGAGTGCATACTTTGTTGGTAACGTTTTAAATTAATACAACTAAATATATGTTTGATTGGACCAAATATTTTTTGCCAATTGCAGTGTACTAAGGCTGGATCAACATCATCTCAAGCATTAGCACCAATGGCAACACTAAGTGTAACCCAAACACCAATACCAATGGCAACACCAAATCGATCTTCAGCACCCAATTCAGCTTCAGCCATTCCAAGGGCACCAAATCCATCTGTATCAAGGGAAAGTTCACAAACACAAAGGGAAACTTCAGCGACAAAGGCAACTTTAACATCAAGGGCAACAATAGCAGCAGGAACAAGGACAACACCAACAGCAATAAGAAGTGCAACAAAAACAACAAAAGCAGCATTGTCACAAACATTTGAAGCATCAAGGGGAGCAACGTCAACACCAACACCAGCCTCATTTACATAGAGATGAAGGAATGTTGTGACCTTATCCTCACTTCAAAATGCATCTGCCTCTAAGGAGAAGAACCTAAAGTAGGGGTGTTGTTTATTTTGATTATCAAACTCTTTTGACAATGTGGCATGTTTTGTCTATGTAGTTATAGATACTGCCAACATGTTTGCATCATGAATATGTTGCCATTTGGACTTACTGGATACAAACAATATATTTTATGAAATGAATTATGGCCATTTGTGTGTTCATGTTGATATTGGCTTCATTTGTGGCAATGTAGTTATGGATACTGAGAGTAAGTTTTTTCTCCATGCTGCCATTTAGTGATCACATGTTTTTCCTGTGACTAACTTTTGTTAAAGAGTCAAATAGTGGTAGTAACAAAAGGGCCAATGTGGCACTTGACCAAAAGCTCAGGAGGTTAAGTGTCACAATATGATGTGTAAGCATCAAAGTGAGATTTTATGTAAAGCGCATGGATGCAAAGTGTAATTTACCGATAATGTATTAATCTAACAAATAAAGCTCAATATTATACATATAAACAAAAATATCTATATAATAAAGCAGGAAGTTGAGATATATTTTGTTCTACACATCCTACATGTACATTTTCTATTTTCCCGCTTCTCTCTCTTACTTTTTCCTTTTCTCACTCATCCTTCTATGATCCCATGAACCCACCTTCCTCTCTCTTTTCTTTTTATTTTTTTGTTTTCTCCCATTTTTATTTTTCTCTCTATTTGTATGTTTTTTTTTTCCCTTTTTGTTCACTTATTTTTATTCATATTATATAGAAAAACCTGCGATCCCATAATTAGGAGCCAGATATTACTGTATGTAATGGAGATTAAATTAACGAATTTTATAGTCCACAAATTAAATTAATTTGAACAATTAATTATTATTATTAAACATATTGAATACCAGATAGATTTCATAAATTTAAATCCCATATGAATCTTCAACATATTTTAATAAAGCGTGATGGTTTTTGAATCTTCATGTAACGCCCCAACTTTCGAGCTGTTAAATACGTACAATAATACAACACAAGTAGGATAGATAACCAAAGCATCTTAATATACATATATAACCAAAGTTAATATCACGGGTAATTCGTTTATGTTCCATTACAGGATTACCAAAACATTGCCAAACCAAAAGTCAAAAGGAAAAAAAAACAACTAGTCTAAGTCTTCAAATGAACCACAGCTCCAACACTTCATCTTGTTTGCCTTCGAAATAACCTTCACCATTGTAAACTGCTTCATCACCTGGCATGACACGCCATGAGCTTGGAATGCCCAGTAAAAATACACACACCCCCATATCTTCTATCAACCAATCAACCATATACATAACAAATTGGGTAACATAACTTACAATATTACAACAAGGTTTTATGAATTAGTAGTTAGACTAGACGAGTAGAATCCCCCAAAGAGATCCTTCTACCCAACCACAAGGATTGAACACCGGACTATTCAGAACTCCCCCTTTTGCTGCTTTGCAAACCTTACCATCTATGCCCACCTCCCGGTTATTTACCGGTCAATGACATTGATGGACCTCAAAAGGGACGGCCAAACAAGTGGGCTCGCTTACACCCAAATCGTGCCTAGGGCTCGCTTAGACCCTACACATACCATACCAAATCGTGTCTAGGGCTCGCTTACACCCTGCACATACCATACCAAAGAGCTCGCTTACACCCTGAAACCACCGCATAGAGTCTGAATACTTCTGTGTCAACCTAGGGCCTCGCTTAGACCACTTGCGCAAGACTTAACTCGGTTGGTTTTAATCCCATTCACATGTATATTACATAAATCATTCTGAAGCATAGGAGTGAACGTCACCCATTACCAACCCCTTTTCATTTCCCATTTATTAGATCTATTGCCAAGCAGGTTAGTCACATTCGGTAATTCGGTAATAAAAAAGAGCATGAGACAAACATAAGGAATGAAATATAGCCCATGACAATCATGCATAGGTATGGTAAGGCAAGCAAATAACATTAGGCATGCTTGAAATACTTAGAGACAAACAACACAACAAAACACCATTTCCAGCACTGTTCGGTTCTGCAGGGCTAACAAGAGTGCTTTGGGAAAAATACTAGGGGCTGAAATTGGACAAATAATAAATAACCTGTCTAGTTTCAATTCCAATTCACAAAATGTGCATAGCACCTCCAGAAATTCATCTACAAGCTATATTCGAAAACCTGTCCAGATTTGTCACCCGTTGAGAAAACTAGCTTTCCTCTCAATCTACCCAATGATTTTCACCCAAATAAATTCCATTGAAAAGAGGACTCAAAATCATAAACTTGTATAAAAGAACCAACCTGAGATGATTTTTCTGGAATTTTATAAAATTGCAAGAAGTGGACTGTTTTTCAGAGACTCGGGACCAGATTTTTAAACAAAGTATCCAAGCCCTAAAAACACACAATTACGGGCTAATAAAATTACCACAAGCTATAAACACACCAAATAGCCTACATTAAATTCAGGTTGAAGAAATAAATAAATTTGATATTTCTTTTAAATTAGAGAAATTACAGCAGTGCCTAATTTTACAAATTTGTAAGGCAAAATCACTAAATCAAACCCACTCTTATATACATCAAAAACCCTATTTCCTATTAATATGAAACACAAGAGGGCATCTAACAATAGGATGGGATGGTGAAAGAATTGGAGAAGACAAGGGGAAGAAGTGTTCTTACCTTGACTCAAGAAGGCACCTTTTTTCTTCATTTTCTTTTTTTCTTCTTCTCTACTTCTCCCTAATCACACTCTCCTTCTCTCACCCTCTCCTTGGCTATTGATATGTGTATGTGTGGAATTGAGACAAGGCTCTCAATTTATAGGAAATAAGCTTGAGTCCTAACTTAATGACTAAGGAAGGCCTAAATATTTAGATATTTTTTTTTATTTTGTTTTTCAACCAATTTTCTACCAAAATATTATTTATCACACCTATGTACATATTCAAATAAATAATAATATTCTATTCAAATAAATAATAAATGAAAGAACAACAAAAACAAAAACAAAAATAAAAATAAAAATAAAATGTATGAATTAATTTATAAACAAGGAGGTAAATAAATAAAAACCAAGTTTTAGGATATTTCCAATTATAAAGTGGTGTTCTGTGATTTAAGTATAATACAAAATAAAATAAAATAAAAATTATTCTTTATTGGACCATTTTGTAAAATTTTATGAAATTTGGGACTAAAATGCAATTAACCTAAGGCTTAGGGTTTCAAGTGTAACTACCAAAAATTAGGGTCTCTACACTTCAACTTATTTTTGTCCTATTAGGACATTTGGAAAGCTCAAATCTGTTCAAATTATAAAACAATGGCTGAGTAATATTTTCCAAAAAATATCCTACATATACATTTTCTATTTTCTACTTTCTCGCTTCTCTCTTTCTTACTTGTTCCTCTTCTGACCCATCCTTCCATGATCCAATGATTCCACCTTCTTCTCTCTTTTCTTTTTATTATTTTATTTTCTCCCGTTTTTATTTTTCTCTCTATTTGTTTATTTTTTTTTATTTTCTCATTTTTGTTCAATATATTTTACACATATTTCCATACGATGTATGTATGCCCGTATAATTATTTAAGCAAAAAGAAGTATTGTATGTATGCCTGTGAAAATTATATGTATGTCAGGCACATCTATCTATCTACCTATATATTATGTAAGCAAAAGCGAGTTTTCGTGAGGAGATTTGTGAGAACTCCAAAATTTTATAATAAATTTGTGATTTTATCAAATTAAAAACTAAATTTAAATAGTGTTGAGATTACAATTATATTCTAATCCTAACATTATTTACACCGTGCCTTCAGGTACGGACACACGCTAGTATATTTTAATAAAGCAGGATGGTTTTTAAATTTTTAACATATTTTTGTCTTATTAGGACATTTGGATGGTTCAGATCTGTTCAAATTATAAAACAATGGCTGAGATATATTTTCTAAAAAAATGTTCTACATATGCATTTTCTACTTTCCCTATTCTCTCTGTCTCTTACTTTTTTTTTTCTCGCCCATCCTTCCATGATCCCACCTTCCTCTCTCTTTTCTTTTTATTTATTTTTTATTTTCTCCTGTTTTTATTTATTTTCTCTATTTGTTTTTGTTTTTTTTTAATTTTCTTCTTTTTGTTTAATATATTTTGCACGCATTTTCATATAATGTTTGTATGCCCGTAATACACTAGGACATTACGGGCATACATACAATTTTCATATAATTATATAAGCAAAAGCAGTATTGTATGTATGCCCGTGAAAATTGTATGTATGATAGGCACATCTATCTATCTAGCTATATATTATATAAGCAAAAATGAGTTTTCATGAAGAATTTTGTGAGAACTTCAAAATTTTATAACAAATTTGTGATTTTATCAAATAAAAAAATAAATTTAAATAGTGTTGGGATTACAATTTTATTATAATCCTAACATTATTTACACTATACCTTCAGGCACGGGCTAGTATTTTAATAAAGCATGACGATTTTTGAATCTTCAACATATTTTTGTCCTATTAGGATATTTGGATGACTCAGATCTGTTCAAATTATAAAACACTGGTTGAGATATATTTTTCAAAAAATGTCCTAGATATACATTTTCTACTTTCCCTCTTCTTTCTCTCTTACTTTTCCTTTTTCTCACCCATCCTTCCATGATCCCACATTCCTCTCTCTTTTCTTTTTATTTATTTTTTATTTTCTCCCGTTTTTATTTTTTTCTCTATTTGTTTTTTTATTTTTTATTTTATTCTTTTTGCTCAATATATTTTACACATATTTCCATATAATGTTTGTATGCCCGTAATACAGTAGGACATTACGGGTATCCATACAATTTCCATATAATTATATAAGCAAAAGTAGTATTATATGTATACTCGGGAAAATTGTATGTATGTTAGGCACATCTATCTATCTAGTTATATATTATATAAGCAAAAATAAGTTTCCGTGAGGAGTTTTGTGAGAACTCCAAAATTTTATAATAAATTTGTGATTTTATCAAATTAAAAAAATAAATTTAAATAGTGTTGGGATTACAATTTTATTCTAATCCTAACATTATTTACACCGTATCTTCAGGCACTGATATACGCTAGTAAATAAATAAGTCACACCATAAATTTCTCATTTGCAAAAATTTATATGTTCACAAAATTTTATTTAGGACTTGGAAGTAAATAAGTTGGAAATGGGGTGATTGTTGTGCCTCTCGCATAGTCACTGTTGTACATCTATATGGGCTCATTTCAAGACTCATTTCAATGATCCAAATCGTTCACTTTTTTGAGTACATCGATTAGAACATATCTAAAAAAATCAAGTTGATTGGATATCATTAACTCTTTCATCCACTCACATTTGTATTCATTTATAATTCAAATCACATTTATCATTTATTTTTTAGATACAAATACAATTCGATGAAATAGTTAACAGTATTCGATCAACTTTATTTTTTGTAAATATATTCTACTCGATGTATTCTAGAATGTGAATGGTTCAGATTATTGAAACGGATCCTAAAATGAGCCTATATAGCCGCAACAATCACCCCATTTCCAAATAAGTCTAGTCAGTATACGAGTAATTATCCTAAGTAAATGGTGGACCAACCTAGGGAAGGCCCAATGTATAGATTGGGCTTGGCCTTATAAAAGTAGGCCTTAGCCTCTTAGCTGGGGTACTATAAAAGAAATTTGATTGCTGCTTTGTTATCCAAGAGAGGGCTAAAATTCAAACCCACCAAAAAAAAGGGCAATGGGCTAGGATTTGTAGACATCGCACAACTCATAAATGGGTATATTATACTTTTGCTCTCTATGGACTCTTTTTTTCTTGGATCCTTAAAAATAATTATTTTGCTCTCTAAAGGGTGGCTTTGTAGGGCGCGTCCTACATCGCTCCGTGGGACATTTACGACCCACCTTATAAAGCTAATTATTTCCTTCAACTAGCAGGAGGCCTTTTCATCAAGGGAGAACAAAGCCATGAAGGCATGATACTCTAAACAGAAAATATTGTGTTGATTGTGAGTGGTTGCTTCAATGGCGCCGTCTATGAGAATCCCTCCATTCTCTAGTAGAAGTTATTAGTCTTATGTGACTTTTCCTACTTCGATCCAATTATCAACAATTATTAGCCTTTTGTGAGTAAAAATATTAGGCTTACTTCGGTCCAATTATCAATTATTATTAGGTTTTTGTGATTAAAAATGTCTCGTGGCAAGGATCAACCCCAAACTTGACCCATACTTGGGAGTAAACCATTTAAATGAGAAAAATATTTTTGTTTACCAAAAAAGAATTTGTCTCCCAAAAGATCATGCCACACTCACCTATTAAATGAGGTCTTCAACATCTTAGGTGTCGTTTGATAAATAAAAATAATTAGTTTTTTATTTTTTGTTCAAAAATATAAATAACGAGTATTTTTTTTTTTTTTTTGGCATATATAAATGTTATGCAAACAAATAAATACAAATGTTTGATGAGTTGCCAGAAGTAGTGGCAGGCACTAAAGTGACATATTATCTTGTAAAATCTTCTATGATTTTGTACATTTATACAAATGTTCAATTTTGCACTAAAGTGAAGGAAAATCTATGGTGCACATTTTTTAGTATGCATCTTTAGCTACGATCTCTGTTAATTATGACATTATTTTACTTATGATCCAAGAATTGTTTCATTATACCTCATGTGATGTTTGATTATAATTTAATTTTTTTTTTTAGTCCATCTCTTATAGTATTGAGTTATGCTTTTTGTGATAATCAAACTCACAAATAACATTACTTACATATATAACATTACCCCTAACTGGTCTAATTAAAACCTCTATACCTTCTGGTGATTCAATTTGTTTAACAACTAATAAACCTTCAACATTTTTTTTCCCTTATCTGATTCAAATAATCCCATTTTAGAAAAGCTAATTCCAAAATATTGAAAATTTGTAATTTTTCCATTAATATTAGAACTGTCTAAAAGAGAAGCTCATCTTTCAACATACTAATTAGCATACAACAAAAAAATAAAATAAAAATAAGGAAGAAGCGGTAGGCCTACTTTCTTATACATCATGTATTATGTAGCATTTAGCCAATCCCCAAAAAACACAAAATTATGGCCAACTATATGTGTTAAATGTATTGCATGTATCATAATTTCTCTAATATTAGGGAATTGGTATGGGTGAATTGAGTTGAAAGGCCTGGATGAAATCAAAATCCGGCAAGTTGAGAGGCGGTAGAGAGAAGTGGCTGTATGTAGAGCTTCCTCTTCTAATCTCTTGCATAGTCAGCAGAGCTGCAATTGTATTCCTAAAAACTCCTTCTCCCGACACCATAATCGCCTCTCTTTCTCTGCGGATTATTCTTTCTTCTTCTTCAACCACCGGGAACATTGCATCGATGGTGCTTTCACATTCTTTGACAAGTTTTGATATGAGATCAGTTGTGTAAAAAGGTTGTTGCAACACATTCTGAATGAAGGGTGAGCGCAACAACCCACCAGTTCGCTTGTCATATTTCTTCAAGATCTTGGCCAACCCTGCAAAGTAATAAATTTTTTTTTTTTTTTTTTTTTTTTTTTTTGTATTGTCTAACAATTTTGTATAGTGATAACACTCAACAAAGAAATGTGACTAGAACTACTAATTGAATTTCTATTTTTGCCATTTGGTTCAATTAGTATATCAATGCAATCTTAGGCTTCATAAATTTTTTTTTTTTTTTATATATATTTTTTGGATTTGGATATGACAAGAAAAATA